ACAAACGCCCTATCGCGAATTGCTCGGTGCAGACACATCGCGAATCTGTGCCCTGGGCGAGGTCGCTAGAAGCCGCCCCCCTTGGACGGCCGTCTGCGGATCACCCCAGCTAGGTACGGTTGCCCAATGAAAACCCCCAAAAAACCCAGCGCGACCCTACCTAGGAGTTGGAGCCCCTAGGAAAGCAGCATTAGTAGAAACAATAAAGCTAAGCTGCAGCTAAGTTAAAGCTAAGCTGCAGCTAAGCTGCAGCTAAGCTAAAGTGAAGCTAAAGCCAAGCTAAAGCTAAGATAATACGAAGCTAAAGCTAAGCTAAAACTAAGCTAAAGCTAAGCTGAAACTAAACTAAAGCAAGGCTAAATCAAAGCTAAAGCTAAGCTAAAGCTAAGCAAAAGCTAAGCTAAAGCTAAACTAAAGCTAAGCTGAAACGAAGCTAAAGCTAAGCTAAAGCTGAGTTACTGCTAAGCTAAATCTAAACTACATCTAAGCTAAAGTTAAGCTAACGCTAAGCTACATCCAAGCTAAAGCTAAGCTAAAGCTAAGCTGAAGCTAAGCTAAAGCTAAGCTCAAACTAAGCTGCAGCTAAGCTGAAGCTAAGCTAAAACTAAGCTAAAACTAAGCTAAAGCTAAGCTGGAACTAAACTAAAGCTAAGCTAAAACTAAGCTAAAGCTAAGCTAAAGCCAAGCTAAGCTGCAGCTAAAGCTAAGTCAAAGCTAAGCTAAAGCTAAGCTGGAACTAAACTAAAGCAAAGCTAAAGCTAAACTAGAAGTTAAGCTAAAGCTAAGCTAAATATAAGCTAAAGCTGAAGCTAAAGCTACAGCTAAGCTGCAGCTAGTGAGCTAGAGCTAGGCTAATGCTAAGCTAAAGCTACGCTAAAACTAAGCTAAAGCTAGGCTAAAGCTAAGCTAAAGCTAAGCTAAAGCTAAAGTTAAAGCTAAAGCTAAAAGCTCCCAGGGGACTGGGGAAACCGCGGGGCGGGGACTGCGGAACCGCCCAGGGCGCTTTCCACTGCCCGGCCCCTTTAAGCCAGAGAGTAAGAACCCTTCTAGGCAGAGCCTAGGTAGGGAACATACCCGTACCTAGCCGGGGTACCGCAGCTCACCCCAGCTAGGTCCGGGTATGTTTCGGTGGTTTCAGGCAGGTCCCCGTACCTAGCCGGGGTGGCGGCAGGCCCACAATGCTCTCGAGCACATATCATGCCCTCCAGAGCCGTCCCCGACGTGGCCGCTGCGGCCCCCTGGGGGCGCGACATTGCAACGTCGTTCCTCAGGGCACGTCCAGACGCATTGGTTGCCAGGATAGCGAGGAAATGAAACACTTTATCGATTGGGACAGGCGCCGCCACATATGGGCGGCTTTGAACCGCGCACGCACCACGATGCCCCGAGACGTCCCTAACAATTATCCCAGTGCGACCCGACCTAGGAGTTGGAGCCCCTAGGGAAGCAGCATTAGTAGTGACAGTAAAGCTAAGCTAAAGTAAAGCTAAGCTAAGCTAAGCTAAGCTAAGGCGAAACTGAAGCAAAGCTAAAGCTAGGCTGAAGCTAAGCTAAAGCTAAACTAAAGCTAAGCTGAAGCTAAGCTAAAACTAGGCTAACGTTACGCAAAAGCTAAGCTGAAACTAAGCTGAAGCTAAGCTGAAGCTAAGCTGAAGCTAAGCTAAAGCTAAGCTGAAGCTAAGCTAAAGCTAAGCTAAAGCTAAGCTGAAGCTAAGCTAAAGCTAAGCTGAAGCTAAACTAAAGCTAAGCTGAAGCTAAGCTAAAACTAAGCTAAGAGCTAAGCTAAAGCTAAAACTAAACTAAAGCTAAGCTAAAGCTAAGCTAACGCTAAGCTGAAGCTAAGCTAAAGTTAAGCTAAAGCTAAGCTAAAGCTAAGCCAAAGTTAAGCTAAAGCTAAGCTAAAGCTAAGCTAAAGCTAAGCTCAAGCTAAGCTAGAGCTAAGTTATGCTAAGCTATGATATACACGACTGTGCTATGTTATGCTATGCTGTGCTATGATATGCCATGCTATGCTATGCTACGCTAAGCTAAGCTACATTAGGCTAAGCTAAGCTCAAGCTAAGCTAAGCTAAGCTAAGCTAAGCTAAGCTAAGCTAAGCCAAGCCAAGCTAAGCTAAGCTAAGTTAAGCTAAGCTAAGCTAAGCTAAGCCAAGCTAAGCTAAGCCAAGCTAAGCTAAGACGAGATAAGCTAAGCCAAGCTAAGGGGGCGCGACTGGGGGAACCGCGGGGCGGGGACTGGGGGAACCGCCCGGGGCGCTTTCCACTGCCCGGCCCCTTTAAGCAAGAGAGCAAGAACCCTTCTCGGCAGAGCCTGGGTAGGGAAAAACCAGCGCTTGTCGCTGCAATCAGACACCCAACCATCGAGCGCGCCGTTGCGCCTTGACGCGCGGATGCTGCACTGGCGCGCGCGGGGCAAGCTGACCGGGCACATTAGCACGCGCCCAGTCCCCCGGACGGCCCATCTCACCTTGGCTGGCCCCGGGCACGGGTATCTTTCGGACCAATGAACAAGTTGGCCGAGAAGAAGCTCTCGGGCGTGCAGGCCATGATCAAGGACAAGATGGAGGTGCAGATCGAGGAGATGGAGGAGGACAATCGCCATCTCAGCAAGTTGCACAGGTTCAAGAAATGCAACGACGGCACCCCGCACACCTGCACGAAGATCCAGCACGCCCTCGGCCAGACCGCCTTGCACATGGAGGCGGCGCAGGAGAGCAGCAACGCTGCCAAGGCCTTCCTGAAGGGCAGAGCAGGCAAGCCGATGGCTCGCCCTCACCCCCGTCGCGAGTCGATCGCGTGTTGGCCTCAAGCAGAGCACCGAGATCCAGACGAGCACCGCGGCGCTGGCTAGCCGCTGGCCCGCCTTCACCCCCGTGCGCTAGCGCCGCGTTGTGCAAAAAGTATCCCCTCCCCTCATCATGATCTCCCCTCTTCCAGAGTGTGTCTTGAGAGGCGTCTTGAGAGTGTCTTTAGAGTGCCTTGAGAAGCGTCTTGGGAGATCAGGTCTAGAATAAATTGTATGAGTGCAGCTTGAATTAATCAAGACACATGTGTCCCTTATGGTAGCTCTCCATTAGTATCCTCATATTATGTAGCCTCATATATGTAGCCCCATGTCGCTCATATTATGTAGCCGAATGTGTATTGTGCCCTGTCTGTGTCCTCCCAAGGGGCCTCTTGGGAGCTCTTATGGGGCTGCCGTGCTTAATCTTCTGGCCCTGCTTGTGCGTTCAGGCAACCCGACTAAACCACAGCAGGTTGCTTGCGGGGTGGCTGGGTCATGTTGCTTCGCTTCGCGATAGGTCCATACCATTATACACACAATCCGTCTTCTTTCACAGCGTTGACTTTGGGTTTAAGTTCAACCGAAACTGTACGTTTCGCAGAATTGACTTTGGGTTTACACTCAACCCAAACCCGTTTGTTGCACATTGCTGGCATCCATGATGTAAAAGTTTTGGCACGCAGTTTAGCTCACGCATCTTGGCTCGCAGTTTTTCGCGCCATGGAACAGTTCGGGCGACGCGGCGGCATCAGGCAACGAGCCACAGCGGCTGCTGCCGCCGAGGCTGCCGCAAAGGTCAGTAGCACATTGGCGACATACCTGTTGCAGGAATGGAGCTGGGGGCGCATGACGCCGCAACAAGTCCAGCGCATCTCCGGTTTCATGAAGGACAACCTCGCCGCCCAGGCAGCAGGTTTATTAGAAATGAACGCGGTTCAGTTCCGATCGTCCCTTGGCACCTCTGGGCGGCACCCCCAGCATATGAACCACCAGCTCGTCAAGAGGTGCTCCCCTCATTCATGTTTCTACACGCTGCCGTTCAGGGCAATTCTCAAGCAGAGTGCTTGTGGGACTCACTTCCAGACCATGGACATGTTGTGCCCGCGTGTGGTGTTCTCTAACATGTGCCACTGCCACAAACATGCATGGCACTCTGTTATGTACCCGTCCGCTAACGTGCTGAGGGAGATCTGGCAGGACGTGAAATCGACGCCGCAATACTTGACACATCCAATCCGCGGCCGCCTGAACCACGAATCCTTGGCCATACCGATTAATGTGCACGGCGGTGGCACGCCGATCACTGGCCTTGGGAAAGCTTGGGGAAAACTCATGGACAGCTGGAGCTGATGCTCGCTCGTTGCGTCAGGGCCGACCGACATGTCTCAACTCGTGCTCTTCATGTTGCTCGAAGAAGTTCACACTTCAGGTGAAGCAGGCAAAACCTTACTGTATATATCTAGGACGCTCAAATGGTCATTAGAGCACTTGTGGTTGGGCACGTGGCCCGAGGTCGACGAGCTAGGCAATCCGATGCCTGAGGGCTCGCCCACGGGATTGCTCGCTGGGGGGCACTACGCGTGCGTGCGGGGGCTGATCGGTGATCTCGATTAGATGTTCAAGCATTTGGGTATGCCTAATTATAACCTTTTGGATGGCCCGTGCGGGTGGTGCCCATGCAATTCCACGACCATGCCATGGTGGGATTTCCGAGAAAAAAATATCCCAGCGCGACCCTACCTAGGAGTTGGAACCCCTAGGAAAGCAGCATTAGTAGTAACAGTAACGCTAAGCTAAAGCTAAGCTAAAGCTAAGCTAAAGCTAAGCTAAAGCTAAGCTAAAGCTAAGCCACATCTAAGCTAAAGCTGAGCTAAAGCTAAGCTAAAGCTAAGCTAAAGCTAAGCTGAAGCTAAGCTAAAGCTAAGCTAAAGCTGAGCAACAGCTAAGCTAAAGTTAAGCTACAGCTAAGCTAAAGCTAAGCTAAAGCCAAGCTAAAGCTAAGATAAAGCTAAGCTAAAGCTAAGCTAAAGCTGAGCTAAAGCTAAGCTAAAGCTAAGCTACGGCTAAGCTCAAGCTAAGCTAAAGCTAAGCTAAAGCTAAGCTAAATCTAAGCTAAACGCTAAGCGAAAAGCTGAGCGAAACGCTAAGCGAAACGCTAAGCTAAAGCTAAGCTACAGCTAAGCTAAAGCTAAGCTAAAGCTAAAGCTAAAGCTAAAGCTCCCAGGGAACTGGGGGGAACCGCTCCCAGGGGACTGGGGGAACCGCCCGGGGCGCTTTCCACTGCCCGGCCCGTTTAAGCTAGAGAGTAAGAACCCTTCTAGGCAGAGCCTAGGTAGGGAAAAAGCACGCTGACTGTTTGAAGCTACATGGAGGGCCATGGGGCATCAGAACGGCCACCCGCTGTTTAACGTCCCTGGCGTTTAAATTTTGACGGTAAAGCCAAATTGGATGCACATCAAATATTTGGGCTTGGTCAACAAAAATGTATGGCTCAGTATTGGTTTGCTTGACCCGCTATGTGCTAACAGGTGAACCCGCCCAGAACTTGGCGAACAAACAGAAACATAGTTTGACATTTACAAGCGCGACAAGGTGAAGACTCGATTTTCCCAGGTAAAGGTATCTATGTTCAGCGATCGGGAAGGCCCGCTCGTCTGTGCCCTGTCTCCCCAATTAGAGCTGTGCGTAGCCCGCCTAGCTGTTACCGGAAGAGGTTCGCTCTCGCCCAGCAGACCAAACAAAGTGTTCAGCGATCGGGCGAAGGCAAACCTCAGAGGAAAAGCTGCTGAGATAAAATGCCTGGGGCCAGTCCCTCTTGAAATATGGCAGAACATAATGAATCAAGAGATTGAAATGCACCAGAGGGTTCAGCTGCTAATTAAGTTGAGTGTCCTGCTCGATGAAAAATTGGATGCTAGTCCACAGGCATGCTACACAACGCCACGGGACATGCGCTTGGACTTGTTCGACACGTGCCATACGTTCTTGTGTCTGTGGAACGAGATGCAGGCTTCCTCTGTGAAAAATGAAGACGCGCAGGATAATGAGTTGTTTCACATAACGATAAAAGCACATGTTTTGTTGCAGTGCTGCTTCGATAGGTCAAATCTTAAAAAAAAATGTTGTGCTTTCGAGGAGGAGATATAATGGCAAGGATGGGCAAACTCGCATGTTCTTGCGCCAAGCGGTGCCAATATTGGCAGATCGGGAACAAAGCCATTGGCAAGTATTGCGTTGCACTGACAATGATGTCCAAATCATTGGACGCAACTGCGGTGTAAGAAAACACGGCATACATACGATGCAATACGTAACATAACATATTATAGCACATATAACCGAACGTATAACCTAACAACTAGCCAAATATATAACCTAACACATGACCTAATATTTAACCTAACCCTAAAATACTAAGCGCTGCCCTAACATATAACCTAATAGTTAAACTACCAGCTATCCCCATAGTTAAACTAATTCGTTTAATTCAGCCGATTGGCAAGATTAGACGAATTAGTCTAATCTAGCCGATCGGCTAGTTTCAGTCTCATGCAGTCTAAGGGCATGGCGACCTCCCTCCTCCCCGACCGTCCTCCGATCGATATAGCCCCCCCTGGGCCCGAGGAGGCCGCTGCGAGCCCTTCAGCGCCGAGGTCTCCTGCCGGAGCTGATCCAGCTGCCAGCTGCGCCTGGCCAGCTGCCGCTTGCAGTCGGCCAACCCGGCGTGCCTCGGCGCGGAGAGTCGTCGGTCGTCCCCATGGATCGCATGTACGCCGCTGCGCGTGGTGGCCAGAACCAAGCAGCGCTGGATACCACGGGCAACGGATGCGCTTCCTGGGCGCCTTGATCGCGATCGGTGTTCGGTGCCTGATCACATTGCCCTGCCCTCCATTAACCTCTCGTGGATGTCATGTCTTGCAAGCAAGGGGGGCCAGGAAGGAAAGACAAGCGCAAGGTGGAGGGAGGTGACGGTATCTGTTGCGCATTCTTTCCCCGAGGGGGCACTCCAGAAGCGCAGGAGGAGGAGGAGCGTCTTGCCAGGAGCAGCAGGCAGAGCGAGCATCTGACAGCCGTGCGGTGCAGTTGCTTCGGTCAGCTGGTCTTGCTCGAGGTGGCGTCGCTCGCAGGCACTGCGTCCGTGCCATTATGCGTGGCGCTGTCGGGCTGATGACGGTGAGCCTGGCGGCTGACGTCACGTGTTGGGCGACTCAGCACGTGGCCTCGGCGTCGGCGTGCTGGGACTCACGCTGCTGCGCGCGTCCCCGCGCCAGCGTGCCACCGTTCTGTGCGAGGGCGCCGCCCTGCTGTAATATGTAGGCAGTGCAGGGGCCCGCGCAGGGCAGCGCGGAGCCGCGCCCCGCTCGCCGTCCCCGACTGGCCGTGACACTGCCAAGCTGATGTCGTCGAGGACGCACCCACTGCAGGGGCTGACACTAGGAGCCACAAAAACACACAAAGGAATGTCATACAAAGGGTTTTGGCACCACCAACGGTGCAACGCATGTGCACACATGCCACTGGATCCCCACCGACACGGGAGCGACAACTGAGGAACGAGTGCAGAATCACCTACAAGGCCGGGCACTGCCGTGCATCGGAGCAGCACTGGCGTGCCAGGCCAGTCCTGAGCGGACGCGCGGGGATCTCCGAATCCGAACTCCAGACGACGTCAGGCGTTGGTGATGGACGCCTCCGCAGGACTGGCAGCGCTCATCTTCAGCGGGAGCGCCTGGGCGCTTATGCTCTTCATGGCAGGCAGGAGGACTCAGCTTCCCGGGCACCACCTCGTTGAGCATAGGGCCGAGGGGGACCCTCCGAGCAGTGGCGTGCGGCGGCTACCGCTGCCGAGATCGGCGTCATGCTCAGGGCCCGCTGGCTCGGCCGCCGTCACATCGGCCGCGCTCGCGGCCGTTCCGCGCCCTCCAGGACCCTGAGCGCACAGAGGTCGAGGCGGTCCTGAGCGCGGCGGGCGGCAACGCCCTTGGCGTGCGCCTACTCCTCCAAGGAGCGGCTGCCTGGTCGAGTTGGCGGCAGCCGACGTCTGGGCCGCTGCCACGGCTTCGTCCGCCGACTTGAGGAGGCCCGATTGCTCCGCGCGCGTGCCGAGCTGGGACCGCAATGGCGCCGCGACTCCAGGCACAGCAACGGGCGGAGGAGACGTAGCCCCTGCTCGGCACGTAGCTCGGCACGTAGGAGTAGACGTAGCCCGTCGAAGGAGGAGCACCAGCTGCCTTGGACGGCGGTGGGGGCCCAGGGCCCTTCTTGCCTTTGCCCTTGGCGCCCTGAGCAACCCTGCTGCCGCCAGCCGCCCGATCGCCACCGCTGCCCGCGAAATCCCCGAGCCCCGCGCCTGGCTGGTCTCGCCCGAGCGGTAAAAGTCCTCCACGGCCAATGCAGGCGGACCGAACAACCACTTGCCCTTGGGCTTGAGGTCCAGCGCGGGAAGTCGACGAGCGGGCTGGCGCACTGGCAGCACCAGTCGTTGGCCTGGAAGTTCCACCTGTACCTGCACCCAGCGCGCGTCTTGTATTGGACTTGCTTCTCTTGCCTTTCCCACACGTCTGCCAGGACACGAGAAACTACAACAGAACTGCTACGACAGGAGCTCACAGGATCCTGAACCGCCTGGCGGCTCGTGCAGGGGCGCGTTGAACGAATGATGCAAACCTAGCCGCGGAATAGCGGTATCCACTTGTTTCCCTGGGGGACTCAAAACCTCGAGCCAAAACGGCTACGGAGGGGGGGGGGAGGGAGCGGGGAGGACGGCGGAGGGAGCAAAGACGAGGAAACGGGGAGGGAGGGAGAGAGGGAGGGGGAGGGAGAAGGAGGAGAAAGAGGCGTGAGGAGGCGCGAGGGAAGGGGCGGGAGGTGGGCAAGGGAGGCGAGCCGGGACCGATCGGCCACGATTGCAGTTGGGCGGCAGATTCATCGATCTGTGCCCGCACGCTCCTCCTCCTCCTCCTCCTCCTCCTCCTCCTCCTCCTCCTCCTCGTACTACTACAGCTGGTCATCCTTGTCTGAGTCTCCTCCATCATCATCATCATCATCATCATCATCATCATCATCATCATCATCATCATCATCATCAGCATCATCATCATCATCATCATCATCATCATCATCAGCAGCAGCAGCATCATCATCATCATCATCATCATCAGCATCATCATCATCATCAGCATCATCATCATCGTCATCATCATCATCATCAGCAGCAGCAGCAATAGCAGCAGCAGCAGCATCATCATCATCAGCAGCATCATCAGCAGCAGCATCATCATCATCATCAGCAGCATCAGCATCAGCATCAGCATCATCATCATCATCATCATCATCATCATCATCATCAGCATCAGCATCAGCATCATCATCATCATCATCATCATCATCCTCTTCCTCGGTCACCGCGTCTGTCGTTTCCTCTTTTTCTCCTCCTCATTGCGTTATGAGCAGTCAAATGGAACTGTGGCAAGATGGTCGCCAAGAGGCGAACAGACGACAGGGGTCAAAGCAAGGTCTTCGAAGCCCCTGCCCGAGCCAGAAGCTGCTCCTTCCAATCACCTCACAGACGTACTCGAAGGGCTTGATCACTGAACTGAGCTCCTGCCCCTCCCAGTCCGTGCCCCTCTTGTTTGTTCGCCCACCTCCCTCCGACGAAGACGTCGACGAAGACGTCGACATCCACCTCCCTCCCTCCTGCGCCTAGACATTCACGGCGGACAGGTCCATGCGAATAGATGCACAGATGGGGAGCTCAACGCAGTGAATAATTTGTTCGCCCACCTCCCTCCGACGAAGACGTCGACGACGACGGCTGCGTCTGCCGCCACGGCGGTGCCGACGACGCCCGCGGCGAGGAGGCCGAGCCGCGCCGGCGCGCCCGCTGAGGCGCGGGCGCGCTCTGCGCCCGCGCCCGGAGGTGCCGCACCTCGGCCCGCATCCGCTCGCCCGCCTCGTGGCAGCCGGCCTCCTCGGGAGCGGCGAGCGAAGGACTCGAAGGGGCCCTGGGACACACAGAGAGAAATGCACACCAACGAAAAAGAACTCCCCATATCTTCCCATATATGTTCGGGGCGTCTGTCTTCCCCCCCAGCTCCCATATTTCCCCATCTCTCCCTGGGAGTCGACGATTCACTGCGTCTGCGTGCGTTTCTCCCTCCTGAGGACTCCGCGGAGGCGTGCGGAGCGGACAGCCTCCGCCCGGCTCGGAGCCGCGGCGGGCCTGCCGGAGGACACGGGCAGGCCGACGTCGCCTTCTGCGCGGTGCGCCACGGCTCCGGGGTTTCCAGGGCCGCGCACGGCGCCCGCCCGCCCAATATGCCACGGCCGGACGGCCAAGGCTTCGGTCGGGCATGTGCCCCCACACGCGGAGTTCGGAGGAGGAGTGAAGAGAGGCCCCAGAGGCACACTAGACAATGCAAGAGGGCCCCGAATCGCCGAAACATCGCTCGAACCGCCCAAGATGCCCCGAAGACAGTTCCAGTTCCAGAAACCTCCAAGACGTCCCCAGGATCCCCCGGATCGGCGGCACTGGCCAGAGGCCAGCCCAATAGTCAGAAAAATCAACATGTTCCAGAAATAATCAAACATCCCCCCCAGACTATGTTTTGACTATCTCTGCATATTCCCCCTGTAGAGGTGCACGCCCGACTCACGCCAAAACCCGACAGGCCTGGGATGGGGAGGAGGGGGGGGATGCAGCGGGCGGGCAGAGGGGGTCAGGGATCGAGGACGAGAGGGGCCTGAGGAGGCCTCCCGGGGGCCTCGGGAGACCCCCAGGAAGAGGAGATTCCGGGTATGTCGGGCCGGGCGAAAGGGGGGGACAGCAAAGGGGGAGAGGAGATTCTGGGTATGTCGGGCCGGGCGAAAGGGGGGGACAGCAAAGGGGGGGGGAGAATCAGCTCACGTGGCTGCGCTTCCCGGCGCCGGGGGCGGCCATGTATCGGGGAATGGGCCCCGCGGCGGGGCCGAAACCAGCTGCATGCGGCAAATTTCGTAACCCCCCCTTTCCCAATCCCCCCCTTTCGTCCGTCCCGAGTATGGCGCGCCACGAGACCAGCGCGCCCCGCGAAAACACGAGCAGGAGGAAAAGACTAGAAACCAAGGATCCCAGCAAGGGGCTGGCACAAAGTTACCCGGCAAAGCAATTCGCGCAAGAGAGACATCACCAATTATGGATCCTGTCCCAGGGTGCCGCCCGCCCACCACACGCTGGAAGCGCCAATTCAGAATTCGTTAGGCACATCCTTTTGAGGTCGGATACGCTGGTCGATGAGTGGGCTCCTCATTGGCGACAGAAGACAAATTGTCTCGATCGTCGAACAAAGTGGCCGGTCCTATCTCGCATGGGGCATGGTTGCCTCACCAGCTCCCATCGGTCCTTACTTGAAGACCAGTGATACGTTCGCCTACGTCTGTTGGTGGCAGGGTCGTGCAGCACAAAATGAGGAGTGCCCTCAACCGGGCCCACCAGGGCAACTGGAGGAACACACCAACGATCTCGGGCCCTCTTCGGGGCCCGGGGCTGCGTGGGCTCAGACAAACAGCGCGCAACCACTCTATATATCAAGGTACAGTGCCGTTTTTCATACCTGCTCCGCGTGCGGATCATGTATTAAAAATGCAGGGATCTAGTATCAAAAAACAACGGTGTGTTCATGCATAAAGTTATTCATGAATTACCCATGTATTAAAAATCCTACATTAAAAAAAAATCCTGTGTATTAAAAACTGCCATGGCAAGGCTCCGAATCAGCAGCTCGGGCTGCCGGACCCGCGCCTCGGCGCGCGGAGCCCGAGGGTGAATCCAGCCAACCCGCTTCGCAGAGGTGTCGGCACGGGCTGCGGCCGCTGGAGCCGTGGAAATAATGAAGGCCATCGAGAGACAAGAAGCCTCCAAGATGCCCCAAGAGGCCTCCAAGAGAACTCCCAAGAGGGCCCCAAGAGGCAAAAAACTGTGCTTCCCTTTGGTTTTGGACAGATTTATCGACAACTACACAGCTCCCGACGCCGCAGCTCCACACTGCAAACGACCACTCGGACAGGCGACCACGGTGCGACATTATGGGCCGGCGGAATGAGCGAAGCGATTAAATAAAGGCCATCGAGAGACTGATGTGCGGAGGCCTTGATCACAAGAACTTGGTCATACCCGATGTCCTCGGCTGTGTGGCATGCACTCTGGCCCATGAGTCGTGCGCTTTGGCACATCATTCGCGCTGTGCAGCACTTCCTCCTCATGTGTGCGTTTGGGGCTCCAGCCAGGAGTCAACCACCCACTGGCAAGCAAGCAGTCTAAAATTCCACTCGGCCCACAGGTTCGGGACAGGAATTCGACAGGTAAACTGAGAACATATACAGCCCAGCTGCAGGCACTGCGGTTCTGGGCGCCGCGGCATACGACTCTCCGACCACACCTGGCAATCAAACGGGAATCGGAGTCGAATACGAATCCATCCCCGAAAGCTGGGGAAAGGAAAACGCGCTCCCAGAGGCATAGGGTGACCCAGTCGCAGGCGAGCTCTGCACGCAGAGGCGATGCCACATCGCACTCAGAACACGAATGCTGGGGGCATGGCCCTTGGTGAAGCAAAGCTCCCCTGAGCAAAACACAAAGCGCTGCCTTCTGATGCGTGCCAAAATCTTCAACGCCGCCTTCGTCCAGCAGACGAGCTCCGGGAAGAAGGGGAGGGGAGATTGGAGGCGGAGGAGGGGTAAGGGGAGTGAGGAGGGAGAGAAGGAAGGGGACAGGAAGGAGGAGGGCGAGGAGGGGAGAAGGAGGAACGGTGGACGAGAGGGAGCAGGGTGAGATGGAAGAGGACAGGGCGAGAAGAGGGGGGAGGGAGAGGGAGGGGGAGCAGGGAAGGCGGGAGGAAAAAGGAAACAGGGTGGCACAGCGGGACGAGAAAGAAGAATCCCACCAGCCCTCTGGGCGTGAGTGCTTTAGAGCGCTTCCTCGTCCATCTTCCCCTTCTTCCCCTGCGGGGAGGGGTGCGCCCCTCCCCTTACAACCTACATTGGACCTGGACGGGGGGATTCGCGACCAAATGGAGCGCCCACGAAGGCCCTGGCGAGAAAGCACAAATCATTGATTGTACTAAGGTTTTGGGACGAGTTGGGCCTCCTGGGGAGGGGGGGGCTATTGAGCGCCCCCATTCCTTGGCCGAACTCCTCCAAGAGTGCCCCAAGATAGCCAGTGCCCCAAGAGTGACCCAACAGGCGCCCAGGAGGCCCCACGAGGCCCCCAAGAGGCCCCCAAGAGGCTTCCTGGGAACCCCTAAGATGCCCCCTCAAGGGGCTCATCGAAGACACCCAAGACGCTCCAAGAGGCCCCCAGGACCGCCAAGAGGCCCCAAGACGCCCCACGGCGACCCCGAGAAGCTCTCAAAAGACATCTTCGTCTTCGAGTCGTTGCTCAAGACCCAGCCCGCCAAGCGGGCTCAGCTCGAGGAGATCCAAGGCCAGGCTGGACGAGGCGGCCGTGCCGCCGAGGGCCACACCGGTCAAGCCCATCTCGCCAGCGGAGCGCCTGCAGCGAGACGCCAACGCAGTGGCCAAGGTGGAGAACAGCCTCAACCGGTACCGCGACGCGGAGGCCGCTCGCGAAAAGGCTCGCCCGCAGGGCTGCGAGGGCGGACGGGCGCGTGCTCGCGCTGGCCAGCGCTCGCCTGGAAAAGAGAAGGCCGCGGCGGCGGCGGTGGCCGCGTCCCTGGCGCCGGCGGCCGAGGCGCCTGCCCACGCCGCCGCGCAGACCAGCGGAGTTCTCAAGCTCGGCCCCGCCCTGTTGGACAACCTCGACGACTATGCGCGAGGGCCACCGTGCCGAGCTGGCGACGCGGGAGCAGCAGCAGGAGGCGGCGTTCCAGCAGCCGGAGCAGGCGGCGCAGGCCCGCGAGCAGCGGCGCGTGGCCCAGGAGCCGGCCCTGGCTG